AAAATATTTTTGAAGTTTTGTTTTGCAAAAAATAATATTTATTCAGAAACTTTGCACGTGTTCAAGTTGACATGTATTTAAATGGTTATAACCTGTTACTGTAACATACATAAAAATCATAACCAGTGTCCTTTACTAAATGTCCCATATAAATCCCCATATACCATTCCCTATATATCTTTTTGTTATTAATACAAACAATAACAGTAAGAAACAGAGTTTTAAACAGATCTATATAACGTTGTTATCACTCTGACTTTCACATCAATCTCTTGACCTTGAAGCAGAGGAAAGAGGTCGTGTGTGGCATGATATTTTAAATCTCTATATAGTAATTTCTAAAAGCTGACAGTACAGAGCATACTTGTAAGAATAATACTCTAAGTTATAAGGCTTTTTGTCCATTTTTCCACCAATAAATCATTAATTTCAATCAAGTTGACCTTGAAAACTTTTTTACTCACACACACATGCAATCACTACCAAAAACAACCTCCTTGGTGGAGGTAATAAGAAAACAGCCATCTAGAAATAAGTTGAAGTTCTTACTTGTAAGAATATGCCACTATTCCGACTGCCAGAACAAATACCAGGACACCCAGCAGCATGGCGATAATTTCAGACGAGGACAAACCAGAGCCTGAAACAAGGATCACACTGTCATGTTGAAGCAGACACATCAAATGCTGTCAAACCAAATCCATTCATGTTACTGTTGTATGGGGGGTTATGTTGCATACCCATGTCAACGTGGACTTTGGCACTCGTCACAGCTAAACTGACATCATTGGTCAAGGAAACATTGATGCAGTAGACACCAGAGTCATTGAGGAAGTGGTGGAGTACCAGCTCGCACTCTTCTGATGGCTCCACCATGTTGCACACTGAGTGAATTGGCCTCAAGCACTCAGAATCCAAAAGCACACTGCAGACCTCTTTGGGAAGGCTGCAGGAGAAAGAAAGTGAGTAAAATCAAACTGTACACTTTAAAGTGTGCCTATTTTTACTCATTTAGAGGTTCTTGCTTTGATTCTTGGACTCTACTAAATAACTTTGCGCTACCAAGAGTTCAAAATAACCAGTTCTTAATCAGATACTGCTTCAACTGTCTTAAACAACCTGTCTTAAATGCTTTAACTTTCTTTCGATTCCCTTTAAGCCAACTTTCTTCTGGTTCTTTTCTTCCAAAGCCAAATTTCTTTTCACAAAGAGAAGGCTTAAATAGGTTTGATAATAATAATAACAACCAAGAACAGAATTAAAAAGGGTGGAAAAAACATTTGAAACAAAAAAAATAGTGTAGATACTGATGAGTGTTATAATGGTTATCCTTTCCCCTAATTTCTTATCACTAAAGACATACATAAAGGCCAGAATCACATATTAGTCATATAGGAAGCTGAGGCCTCATATGGAAGACATTAATTATTCAGCACATTCATATTGTGGTAGAACAGGAGACCTGTAAGCAGGACAAAGTAGCTTGGACTTCACATGGTCAAATTGTTTCTGCATGTCTGGATTTTCTTTCTTGTTTGGAATCATATAAGCAGGGACAGTCGTGAATCCATAGTGTCTTAGATATAGTTATTTACACCACATAATAATGCAGTACAAATAATTCATTCTGTCATGTGAATAAGATCAAAATCTGCTGCTTTCTAATTAACATGGTTATTATTTCTCTATTTTATAGCCATTTACAATCGACCAGTGTTGGTCAAGTTACTTGAAAAAAGTATTCAGTAACTAATTACTAATTACTTCCCCAAAAAAGTAATCCCGTTACTTTACTGATTACTTATTTTCAAAAGTAATTAATTACTTAGTTACTAAGTTACTTAGTTACTTTTTTAAAACACGATTTACAACCTGAATAGGTGATAAAGTGATAGATCTTTCAGCCCAATTCTACTTTTTTTTGCATAATCCATCATACAAAATGTAATCAAATGGAAAAGTCTCTTTTTTTTAAACTTGTTTTATCAGTTTTAATCTTTTAACTTTATGCATCAAGCTAAAATTTAATTATATGCACCATTCTCTGACTTGAAGAAATTCATTAAATTTATTTAATGAAATAAATAACATTTAAACCTATTTTCTGCACATTCCAGCACATAAAATAAAATATTTTTTGTGTTTACACTCACTCTTTCAAATAGATGCGAGTAAAACACAGCAGAAAATAAATAAAGTCAAAGACTAGCGGTCCTGTTGCTCTATTTTTACCTGTAAAGCAGGAGTGGCGTAGGCGGAGGTTTACCCTGGTGCAGGTGTGCCGCAGCGGTCAGCGGAAGAATCCGCGAGTTTCTCTGTGACTTTCCCATTACGTCGTTGCGCACTCGGAGCTTGTTTAGGGGTTTTTTCGGTGTAAAAAGAAGTTTTCTTCAAACGCACAACTGACGCTAATGTTTTTGTCACTTTTTATGGAATCAAACTCAAAGTAAGGTCAGTACTTCCACGCTTTAAATGCTGCACGCTCATACTCTCTCCGCACTTGATATATGATCCATTGTTGATCTGCACACAGCTGTTGTCACGAACGTGGCACTCGCTTACGTCACTGTCATGAGACATTCTCGCAAAAAAATCACCGTTTTAGTAACGGTAATCTAATTACCGTTTTTGCAATAGTAATCCCTTACTCTACTCGTTACTTGAAAAAAGTTACAAGTAACGCGTTACTGCCCATCTCTGCAATCGACTATAATAAAAAATAGACACTGAAAACAGATTTTAATGTTAAATAAGAATTCATTTCTCCTGATTCAGTTAGTTGGAATTGGTTACAGTATGACAGAGCTCATATCTTAGCAGATCATCTGTACGATTATGTTATCATCCCCCCAAAAACTTCCTGAGCAAACAGACAAACATTCAGCTACTCTCCCCTTGGCCTCAGACTCGCACACGAAACACTTTGACAGTCAATGTTATCAGGAAGGCTGAGTGCTTAGAGCCATCTGGAGCCTGTTTACAAAGGAGCCTCTGTATAAACCGTTCTTATTATTGGAAATGTTCCACCTCTGTGAATAAGATGACTAGATTTCCTTTAGAGGTTTTCATTTATTCTGTGGCAGCTTAAAACATGGGGCAGGACCACTCACCTTCCCAGGCAGGTCACGGTGACATCCAAAACATTTTTGTTCATCCTGGGTGTTGCCATCACTGTATTGTCCATGTGTACAATCTCTACTTTTTCAATTCCCTCTGAAAACAAAGACGCAGAGAAAGAATCTCACTGATAATCACCTTTTAATTTGTCTCTTGGTGTGTGTGTGTGTTTTTTACATTTAAGGAAAAGAGTACAAATAAAACTCACCAAATATTTCTATGCTGGTGCAGAAGGATCCATAACGATATATCACACAGTCGTCATCGGAGGATTTTTTGTCGGCATCCCTCTTAACCAGCACAACAACTGGAGCTTGTCCCGTGAGTGTGACTGTGCGCTTAGTGTCTGGTGAGAACAGCCAGAGAATTATTGCACGAACAATTCATACTCGCATTTGTAATTTGCACCAAAGACACATCAGCGACTTTTGCAAATTGTTTTGGCTGCTGTGAAGCAAGATTTGCAACATCTTTAATTTTACAACTGTATCAGGAGCGCAAACTGATGCAAAAGCAAGAAAATGCAAAAGATAAAACATTTTTATTGTGCCTTGGGTGATCCTTTTTTGAAGCGCAAACTGGAATATTTCATGATTTTTTTTAAAAAACAACAATGTTGCTGCATTTTATAATATCTCATCAGTTGTTGTTTTTTGCTCAGTGGAATTTTGTTTTTCCCAGTATCCACTTTTTTTGTATCCACACATTTAGCTGACAATAAGCCAACAATCAGTGATTTCATGAATGACTCTGTGGTTACAAAATTATTTTGGTTTTATAATGATTTTCCAATTAGTATTGGTATTCTTTTTGTTTATATATTTTTAAGACAGATCAGACATTGTTTAAGATTTGGAATTGATAAATGAAACCATATAGAGTTACAGACAAATTTAAGGATAAATCAACATAAAACGTGTTTGTAAGATGCTGGAACAACATCAGCGCTCCTCGGCATTGATTTTCCACGACTCTGACACGTTGCTAGAGGGATGAAAACAATTTTCTCATTATGTCACAGACCTGGAGCTCAAATCCAAGGCTTTGAGTTTTTGGATTTTCCTCTTTGTTTACTTCAAAATTTGAGTTCTGTTCTGGTTACTTTTGTATTGATTTAGCTTGTCCTTCCCTGTGCCTTGATGTTTTTTTATTATGTATTAGTTTAGTCTAGTCTGTTTTCTAGTGTTGATGCTTTTTCTTGATTTATTTATGTTCTTGTGTCTTGTTACACGTTTCGTGCTCATACATTATCAGTCTTCTCTGTCCTTTGTTGTGCTCTCAGTAATTTTCTCCAGCACTTTTGGTATTTTATTTTATATTCTGCACATAAAAGGCTTATTTGTTAAATAAATTTGTCTGCGTCTGTGCTGGGTATTTAGATCCTTTTTCCTTCACTCTTCATGAAACATTTGGTGTTTAGATCAAAGTGATGGACCATTTGTCTAACAAACCCGTCCATCATCCGTCATGGGTGAAGATCTGGTTATTGTGAAGGCCATAGGATGTGATCCATCCAGTTAGTTTGGATCAGCCATTTCAGTCTTAGTAATATAACAAATTAACCATTTTTCCTGCAAATAAGGGCTAGAATGGAGGAAGTGAATGCAATAAGAAATGTCCCTTCTGCTTCTTACAGGGATGAAGCTTTGATAATACAAAATAATCTGAATAAAGATGACATTAAAGTTAGAGCCTTACCACTCTTACAAAACCTTAGAAAACAACAGGAGCTGTGTTGTGTTTTCATGTCCCTGAACATTTATCTTCTACAGTCAGCAGTGTACCAAACTGAGGACGACTAAAACACATTTTTGTTTACATTCAAAGGGAATAATCTAAATAATAGGCAGATAATAATAGAGATAAGACTGAGACAGACAGCAGTTAGGTTAGTAAGATGAAATTTATGGAGTAAGATTAGTTCATATGCATGTTTATTCCTGGATTTCCTTACTTACTTCACTGCTCCTTTAACATGTCGCCTCTTATTTTGGTGCGTTTTGAAGCTTCATAATCAAATCACATGGAATAAGGTAAAATGGACTGAGATCTCACAGCCAGCATGCAAATCGCATGTAAAGATGATAAAGTCCAACAGAGTCGTTTTAATTTGCTCAGCTTGCTTTGTACAATGGTGGTGTTTCAAAAAACATTTACATCACATTTACATTTGAGGAAATCTCTCAATGATCTTATCCTGATCATCTGACAGTTCGCTTGCTGATATGTTTGCCCTTTAACAGGATGCTTTGTTGTTTCTGCACGTTTTGATAAGCTCCAGTATTTGACAGGGAAAGTATCTGAAAGTAATCGATATTTAATAGATTCCCAGATATTTTTCTAATCCACTCTATTCACGTCTGTAGATGGACACGTGTGGCATGCACGTGGCAGCTGCCAGTCCATGGTGTGCATGAAGTAATCCATGAATTGTCTCTTTGTGCAAAACAAGAACCTCAACTGATGTATGACTGTAAGGCGTGACTGCTGAGTCACTCTCAAGTCATTCAGCGGCTTGACAAAAAGGAAAAGTGACAGACGGTTTAACATTATACATTTAGAATCTAAAATCTATATCCACATATTATCTTTTTGAATCTATAACTGCTGGTGTGAAATGCAGAAGTCCAGTGCAGGTTACAAGTTTTTACATCTAATAATATCATTTAGACTCTTAATGTATGCTAAAATACATTTTTATAAGCGTTAATATCTCTGCCAGAGTTTTTAAAGTTTCAGTAATAGCAGGCCGTTCAATTTCAGATTTTATTTTTAATGTATGTAATGCAATGAATCACCAGTTCACAACAAAAGACCCTAAAATTTTAGCTACAATATAGCAAAAGAATCCAACGAACAGACCAATCAGATCACTTGTGAGCAGCACTTGGCCACAGTGGGAACAAAGAAGAGGAAGAGATGCCGTTTGAGGTTTGGATTTGAGGTTGAGGGACAAGAGGATGATGGAGAGACCAGGTGTATGAAACAACAGTACATAATGCTTTAATGAGAAGTCTGTGTGAGTTTTATGTGTACGAATCCTGCACATGTGACCTCACGTGTGGCTAAGATTGAAACATTTATCTTCCAGGAAACTTTTGACTATTTTCATGCAAGTGTTGCTCACCTGCTGTCAGCCTGTTCCCCGCCTCTCTGTGAGCTAGCAGCTGGTTGATGGGAGACGGAGTCTTTTCCACAGTTGGCGTTTCCTGGGCCAGCTGACTGTTGGGGGCAGTGGAGGCCTCGTACTCTGTGTTGTCCTCTTCCGTGTCCGAAGGACCAGTGTTGACATTTACACCAACTGACTTGGTGGAAACCAGTACAGGCCCAGCAGACGCCAGTACAGGAGCTTTCACTGCAAACATATTTATTTACGTTCATGAAGGCAGGATCAGTATTACACACATATCTGTCTGCTCTGCATTTCTCTCTCCTCTTCTCCCTCACTCCTGAACCAATCAAAGCAGATGGCAGCTCTTCACTCAGACTCTTCCCTTGTTGGTTTCTTCCCCTAAAAAGATCGTTCTTCCTCCCTTTCATCACCACTTTCTTACTCATAGTGGATCACTGGAGTTCTTTACCTTATATTATAAAACACTTTTTGACAACCATTGCTGTGAACTGGTGCTTAATGCATAAAACTAAAATTGTCTTCCACGTGAAGCCTCTGCTTCCTATATGACTAAAAACCAATATATAATTATCATGTAATTATTATTTTACAATCACTTCTTGTATTTGCTCACAGTAAATTTTAATATTTTAAACTTGTGCTCATCTTGAACTTCTGATTATTGCTGCTCCTGTCACCAGGGGGCAGCGTTTTACAAGTTGCTGTGTTAAACTGCTTTCAGATGCACATTTTTTTGTTTGTTTGTTTGTTTGTTTGTTTGTTTGTTTGTTTGTTTGTTTGTTTTGTTTTGTTTGGGGGGAGGGGGGGGTCTTTTAGGTTTTAGGTTTAGCTTTTAGCTCCAGCCCCATTTGCTTAACAGATGTTTCCCATTCAACTCCTGAAGAAAGATATGATTAACTAACTGCGCCATCTTGTGGTTCAAACAGGTATTACATAAAAGAACAGTCTGACCATAGTTTAACTTCATTTGATATCTCACATTATTATTTTATATATAAAATCATTTTGGTTGTTCTTTCATGTTTTGTTGATAGTTTTTAGACATTATATACTTTGCATAAAGATTTCAGTTTAAACATGTTATTATATCTATTGCTGAATTTTAAGGAAGCAACATAAATTATTTTTATTATGGGTATTTGTAAATACCACTGTTGTATTTGTCACATTTTTAACATGCAGTGAGTCTGAATGACTGCTACCATGACCGCATCTCTCTTGTAAAACAGATTTTTATTTCAATAGGACTTTATAGAAAATAAAGAGAATTAAACAAATAAAATGTAGTGTAGCGCTTTACATTTTAACTACACTTTCACTTTGGCAAGCCAAAGGTCGCTGGTTCAATTCCAACTAGAGACACAAATCCCTTTGGGCAAGGTTGTATCAGGAAGAGCCTCCAGCATAAAACTTTGCGAAAGCAAACATGTGGGGTGACTCGCTGTGGGATCTGGCAAAATTCACTTTATTTTGGCTACTTTATTATGATTTAATTCATATTTTCACTCCAAATGTTGAATTCATCAGCAAGTGAGAGTTAATGTAATCATCTATGTGTATGATAATACTGATACAGTGTTGACTTGACATTTGAAAAGAAAAAAATGAAAAAGAAAATCTAAATCTAGAGAATAATGAGAATAATATTTTTCATGTTAGTAAATGACTCAGACTCACTAAGACTAAAATCAAAGGCAAACATCTGAAGGCTGTATGGAAGCTGTTCAGGACTGTTGAGGACGGCCTCTTGAATCAAACTAAGAAACTAAGACTGAACTACAGCTCACCTGTCTCAGAGAAAGGTAGACTGGGATTTGCCATCTGTGTTAATGATAACTCATTATCTAATTACTGAAGTCGCTGCTGCTCTGCCATTTCTTGCTTTCTTCCTGCTTTGGAGATGCACATTTATCAAACACCCTGGGCTACAGTGGCTACAGTGGGTACTAGTAGGACTCTTTATCAACCTCTGATACAGACTCTGTGCCTCATGAGTCTCATAAAGTGTATTTTGTGTGTTCCTGTCATTATGGACCAGAGTTGATGCTCAAATTTGGAAAGCAATTTATGTTAAGACTAAAAAAAAAAAGCTTGATTGATGGCATGAGATATGTGTGAGTATTAGATGAATTACCTCACTGTGCTCTGTTCGGTCTGTTGGACACAGGTTTTACATATATATTAATTGTAATGTATTTTTATGATTCTTTAATAACTGTGTGCTACCTGTGGTGCCCGGATTGTTGGGTGGACCAGGGGTCTTGGTTGGGGTATCCACTGGTGGGTCACAGGCCTTGTCCGGGATGACTGCCTGGATCACCACTTTAGGTTTGAATGAGCCCGAGCTGATGTAGGTGTGAGTGACCGTCAGCTCTCTGGAAATCAGAGCCCCGCTTGCATCCCCAAAGTCCCAGTTGAAGGTGATGTCTGCGTTGCTGAGGTACTCGCTGGGGTCGTGGAGAGTGATGGTGAAGGCGATCGCCCTGTTCTGGATGAAGCGCATGTCGGCCGCCTCGATGTCATTGACTTGGTCCAAAGAGACAGCGAAGGGGATTTGATCTGAGGAGGACGCCAAAGCATGATGTTAACAAATAAATGGGCAACAGATTTGCATTTCATGACTATCATGAGAGAACGTGAGAGCAAATATTTCCCCTCACTCCTTTATTTTAGGCTTTATTAAGCAACAAACAGATTTATTATGTGTGTGCGCCATGCTGCTTTTGATGAATGTTTCAGTTAGCATCTTATCATGCAGTGCACTCTTATTTTATTTCATGCATATTTCTACTAAATTATAATTCCACTATGTTGTTCCTTTGCCTGACCTGAATGCTATGTTTCTGTTTTCTGTCTGTTACTCACCAGTGATGGAGAACTGCGTGGAGGCATATCCCAAAGGAATGAACTTCTCTTTGCTGCGGTAGTGGTAGATAACGATGTCCATGGTGTAGGAGCCCAGAGGGATGTCATCTGTGCCGATAGTCAGGGAGGAGGAGGGCCCGTCTGCCACCTGCCAGTACTGACCTGCCAAATGAGCAGCAGAAGCCCAGTGAGATGACACTGAACAGATCATTTAAAGAGAAACTGTAGTGCTTTTCAATGCTTTCTGACATGTGTATAGATATACAGTCATAATAAATCTCAGTACAAGAAAACAAAAGTTTCAGCTTCAAGTTTCTTCACCTCTCTTTAGCATCGTCTGTTACTTTGGATGTTTAAACCCAGGTATTTAAACTCACCTGCCTTCACTACCTCTACTCCTTGTTTACCTTTCCACCTGTTTCCCTCTAATTCACACACATATATTCCTCTTCACTCCAGAGCATCTCCACCTCTCCAGGCTCTCCTCCACTTGTAATCACAGCCCCACCTTCAGTCCATCTGCCACTCCCACTGCACACCTCACCACTGTCTTGTTTTCCTCATAGAAGCATTTCATTTTGTTCTTCATCTACTCATTTATTAGTAGAAGTGAGCTCCTCTCACCCCAGGTCTTCCACACAAACACGTAGGCGGGTTTCTTGTCTTTTTTCACTAGCGTCCCATCAGGGAACACAGCCTCCCAGTCTGTGTTCTGTGTTGGGTATACTGGCTCAGACTCAAGATGCTTTGTTCCTGTAACAAGAAGAGAAATTCTAATAATTTATGATTTCACAGATAAGCCTCTGACATGCTGTTGTTAAATAAGTGATGGTGCAATGTGGAAAGTTATTATAATTCATTACTATTCTTCCTGTGGGGACTGACCGCTGCAAAACACTTTTAATTGCACTGATTAAATAAATGCATTAAGTCACGTGCATGCGTTACCGTTGATTACGCAGTCTTCGGCCCAAACCACGTCTCCATCAGGCAGCACCTTTTGGTTGCGTGGAAACTGCAGGTCAATAGTGAAGGTAACTCTGGCTCCAGTCAAAGTTGGGGAATCATTTCCAACATTAAACGTCACTTTTCCGCCTGTCCCAAAGACAGAAATGAAAGTGTCAGTATAATACTTCATTCAGGACAATAAAAAAGCAAATAAATGAATAAAATAAACATATTTAAAGACAGACAGATAGATTTAGATTTAGATAGTTTACAACTGATGTACCTTTCCAAGAGTCTTTGTATCGTGGGTCTCCATCTTTCCAGATCGGGTACATCTTGGTGTTCCATGACGGGTAACGAGTGAAGCGGTTTTTGGGCTCTGAAATATCGGAAATAAATATATTTAAAGCAGAACACAAACTCTCCTCCATACTAAAGATTTAATTTGTTACTGTGGGTTTAAAGCTTTCTTGTAATTCTCTGTTATCTGGTAGTAATTAAACAGAACTGGTGCCATTAAAGGGAGTTTAACTTTTATAGTTCTCACAAACCTCTTTGTTGTTTCTTACATCAGCCCAAAAGTCACTGTTGTTATTTATTAATTACTGGAGCTATGATTTGATTTATAAATTGTAGCTGAAGGTGGATAAATAGATGAATGAGGGTTTTTTTGCAGTAGAGCTCTGATCTCAATCCCTCTCATGTGATGCTCAGCTGAGTGTGTGTGATTAACAGCGTCACATGCAGGGTTGAGTTTGGATTAAACCTATTGGCAGATAAAGACTCTCCAATTATGAATTTAGCCTCAGTTATTTTACAGCAATCACGTTCCTCTTTCAGTCAATTCATGGAAAAACTTGAGTGAACGTTAGATGTGTAAAAAGTTTAGTCCTGAGCTGAGGCAGAATTTAGTGACAGCCGCTCCACTTTATTATTTATTCAAGTTTTGGGTTTTGTTGCCCATCATTTAGCAAGAAAGCTCTTCAAAGGCTGGACAAGAGGAGTTATTACAGCAATCGGTAACTCCCAGCTCTTTTTTATTTACTGTAAGTTCTTAAAGTGAGTGTTTGGCTTCTTGTTCTGCAAAGACTGAATTCTGTGTTATTCATGTGTCATGTCTTTCATGCATGGTTGAGTAAAGAGGTCAGAGGTCACATCTTATAGACCACAACATTGCAATGTGTTATCACCGTGACTCTGCATATGCATGTCGCTCTTTATGTTACTACACAGGTTGTATTTATTATTTGTGAAGTGACAAAACATTAAGTTTAAATTCCCTCTCTGAGGAAACCTGCGATCAAAATTAAACAGACATGCTGAAGAAGCTTTTATCAAATATTCACAGGTTTCTGTGGAAGTATGCAAAGTAGAGCCATTTTAGAGAGATAATTCTTCATTTGCATTTCAGAAAAAATATAAAAATAAGATTCTTAGTGTAAATAATCATCTACACAAGTTTCATGGTAATACCACATCTAAATGTTTCTATTTTTACCCCATAGTCATAAAATAATCTAAAGAGTTGTGGCTTAGAAACAAGAAATAAATAGATCATATTATTTTTTTCTTTGTACAGTGAGTAATTTTCTAGTTTAAAAAAACAAATATGAAGGATAACATGAAAGAAATCAAATTAAATTTGTATTCTTCAGGGTTCTGAAGGTACTTGGACATTTAAAACTGTTGTGTGGACAAATGAATTTCATAAAAATGTAACTAAATCTGTGTAAAATACACGTAGTAACGTTTTAATCACTTTATGTTTTCTGCATATCTACAATCTCAGTAACAGAATGCTACTACTTTACTTCTACTACTTTAAATGAATGGTTCAGTTATTTGCAGAGATTCATATAACAGTACACAATAACATTTTAACACACCCAAAACTCACAACATTATAAAAATAGTCTTCCGGTATGGCCGTAAAATGCCAGTTAAATATTAATGGAGTGTATGAAACTTGGGCATATTTATGATTATTAATATTTCTTCATCAGCTGCTTTTACACAGTTGATTTTTAAAGCTTTCTCCAGGTTGTTTGTTCATCTTTACGTTTGTGATGCTGAATCAAAATCTCATCCTAGTACTGAAAATTCTCTCTTTAAATCTGAAGATTTCTAATCGAAATCATGCGCGACTCTGCGTCTTCCTGTTACTGCTTAAAGCATTTTTAAATGAAAAAGCATTTTCTTTACTCACTTGCCACAGTTTGTGAAGCTGCTGCCAGCAGCACCAAAAGCACAGCAGACGTCCACATCATCTCTGTGAAATATCCCGTTAGTGAGCAGCAGGCGACAGAAAACTGGCTTTATAAACGGTCTGATGTTTGACCTCACGTGATGCACTAGCAGCAGAAACGCCTCCTTCCTCATTATTCCTCCTCCACTCAGAGTTTGGGGCGCCTGGAGCGACTGGCCTGGTGTGCATAGAGTCAAAGCTCGGGGATTACAGTCACACCTCCAGCTGGGAAAGAGCCACACGATCACTTAAGGAATGTTTAATTCCACATTTAACATAGGTTCACAAGTTCACAAGTAAAAGTCTAGTAAGTACTTTCACTCAAATTCTGCATAGGCCTGCTTTGCATTACTCTACTAACATCACATTCTACGCTACATTTAAGAGGAAAACATTTCACTTTTTACAGCTGACATTAGTATTTATTTTGATTATAAAATCTATATAAAACCTATAATTTATGTACTTAATTACTCAGACTCAGTTCAGGCTCCAGTTTAGCCAACCTAGATACTAAAATGATACAGTAGCATTAAAGTATCATTAAGCTACATGTCATCTAAGGACTTAATGCATTTTTGCATTGATTTTACTTTTTTCTTTAAATTTTTTATTACCAAGTAATAAACATTAGTGATATTTATTATCATGCTAATGTGGCTTTGTTTGTTTTTTTCAGTTCAGCTCAGTTACAGTTAATTTCCAGTC